AATCATTTTTGAAATTTAAAATTTTATAATTAGATATAACAATAGATTTTGAGATAATCCTAATGACATTTTACATCAAAATTATATACCATGATAAAATTTGAAGGTACACCTTACTTCTATACCTACGGTGCATCCGTATGCAAACTGCACCTTTTAGATAATTGACTTAAGATTGAGTCACCTAGGATTTTCTAGGTGTCCTAGCTCTAGGATTTCTCTAGGGCTTTTCTAGGCTCTAGGGCTTCTAACATATGGGTTTAGGATATGGGATTTTTAGTTTGTGAATTGTGAGAGGCTAAGGAGGGTTTGTATAGGCTTCAATTAGCATCCTGATTTTATTAGGAATAGGAGTTCTAATTAGTTTAGAATTAGGACTTTCTAGGTTTGAAAGAGCTCAAAGGGTTTAACTGGTTGATTGGGTCGAAATATTCAGTCTTCTATTGGGTGTAGGTCCTTAGGATTCTAGAAAACTCGAAAATCAACTAAATAAGAAAAAAGTACGTATCTCAACTAGACGGGGCTTCCCAAAATTTTTGGACACATTTTGGGTCACTGACACATGGCTTGTCCTTAGAACAGATCGGGCCCAAAATTTGTCGGGTCATGCCAGTCCTCCTGTGAGTCCAAAGGTGCTGCTTTGGTTCAATTCTGACATGGTTTCGAGCATTTAATGTAAGTTTTTTTGTCTTTCTAAAAATATGTATTGTTGTTCCGGATAAGTTTGAATCAATCTGGATTTCTTTAGATGGGTTTATATAGATTTGGGTTTACTTGACTAGATTTGGTTAAATTTAGCGGTTTTCTTAAAGATCTTGGACCACAAGTTATACTGCACTAAGGTTCACTAGTCCAGTAAAGTCCATATGGTTCAAGTCTATAGGTGTTTTTTAGGGTTTTTGAGAAATTAAGAAATTAGCAAATTTTAAATTGGGTGTCTACAATGAGACCATCCACTTTTGTTACAAGGAGGTCACAATTATTTTTAATCATTAGATGTGAAATTTGGATTGAAGTGTGTTACAACATTCAATAAATTTTATTTTGGACTCCGTGTCTATCAATGACACATCCCTAACCAGCAGATTTCATATCTAATGATCAATAATGGTTGTGGTCTTCTCATACTAAAAGAAAATGGTCGTACTCTATGCATTTCCACACATGCACTCCCACACCTAAAGGAAGAAAAAGAGATAAAGGAAAAGGATAAACCAATGTTTAGAAAAATGGATTGGTAATCTTGATCACCTATCTAAAAAATAAGTCCTGATCGGCTAATCGTGGTCCCGATCGGTGAATCGATCTGATCAAGTCTCAAAAATATTCAAAAAATCACTAAAGATCCTTCTAAGTATTGTTTTCTTTAAAAAAAATAACAGAAATACATTATGCATTAATTTTGAAAAAATACGTGAATTTAGAGACGTTCTTTTCTTGCCTAGATGTCCTTGTTTTGGGGTAAGTAAAAGGGTTCTTTTCGTGTCTAGATGTCTTTTTTTTTTGGGTAAGTAAAAAGAGGTAAGTCAGTGGGGATTTGGGCCCTTGCCCTTTGGTGAGAATGGAGTTATAGACCTCATCATGGAGCTTGGGATTATTACTACCAATGCCCTATGCCATTCTCAATGTGTCTAGATGTCTGTTGACCATTACATTCACGTCACG